CAGCTGCCCACAACGGAAGTGCCCCTGGGACAGGAGAGTCACATATGAGAAGGTACTGGGCAAACTCAGACGAAACCTGGTACAGGACAGCTCAGCTCGAGGTTAACACCAAAGGGTGAAGAGCACCGGCTACACAGCCCACCACGGAAGGGATGTGGGTTGATCAAGGCACAGGGCAGAGCAGTAGTGGATGGTACGCATGCACAATCCCAATGGATTACAATGGAAAATTGCCCCTGTGAACACCAGTGCTTGGTCTTCATGACATTGTACCTTCCTATCTATCCTGGGGATCTTGTGCCTGGGAATACGGCTTTGTTGTAGGATATATTATTGCTGTGGTCTTTGGTTACAACTCTCCAACACCCAGGCCCTAGGGATTGTGTAGAAGACTGGTGGTGATGTTGGAAGGGCCTCGCGCGCTCTCTCTCTCTCTCTCTCTAACATATATCCCTGGCCCTGAATACGTAAACTCTGTTCCCATATACTAGCTATTTATCCATTAGGGAGTAGCAGGCAGCTGGCGCCGGACTGTTGTTGTTGATTTCTTCAAGTCTCAGCTAGAGTTAGGGCTCTCTTCCTTCCACCCCCTCCCTTCTTTCCTGGAATATGAGACTTGTTTACCACATAGTCTGAAAGGGACCCACAAGCCCCTCCCGATGCAGAAAATCTTGACTGTCCAGCTGGCCCCTGCTGGAAACAGCCACTGTTCTTATCCCTGGTTAGTAAGTTTCCCTGTTTGTAAAACATCTTTCTCTATAATGAATCAACGTCTGTCCGGCTGTCCCCTGTTCACGTCTTCAGTCTCTCAGTGAATAGCCAAGGAAGGATTTTCCTTTCTGGAGTTGAACCTGAGCACTTAACTAGTTAAGAATGTTTGCCTTTAGAATTGTGGTTTTTAAAATCTATCTACAATGAATTAAACTGACAACAGTGATTCAATGGATTAGATGGATTAGATAAGAACCTTCGGAGACAATGAGTTTATATCAAAGGGGGAAGAACAATTCAGAAAAGAGAAGTGGGAATGAGTGCATAAATCAAAGAAGGTAGTCAAAGTCACTGAAACGTACATGTAGAAACTTGACTTGATATATGATTTGCTGTGTATATTCTCAACAACAAAAAAGAAAACCATGTTTTGAAAACTGAGACAGGAAAAAAACTGGTACTCCAATTACATAAAGGGGTAAAACTTTTCGAAATAAACCTTTGCCTGATGTTTTCTTTACCTTTTATCTCTGCTTTCCATCCACTAGAATTGCAAATAAGATCAATCATCTGCCATGTGCCAGGCACTACGTTAGAGCTTCACACAGATTATTTATTATATTTCATCTTTGAAACAGTCCTACGAGAAGTGTAGAAGATTTGATTTTCCAAAGATGGCAGCAACCATGCATCCCACCCAACATGCTCATCTTACAATGTCACCTTTGGCATTCTTCTCATGGAGAATCTGGAGAACTGTGGAAGCGATACAATGCAAGTTCTGTGGCCTGGTCAAAAAGGTCACCCTCTTGAGATTCACTTGGAACCCGACTGCCATATTATAAGGAAGCTCAAGTCACTTCCATTCAAATGCCAGATATGTGAGGAAGGACGACATCTGAGATGACTCCCACTCTAACTGCCATTTGCTTGAGAGATCTCAAGGGAGACCTGCCTAGTTGAGCCCAGTTGACCACAGAACCATGAAAGACAATGATGGTTGGTATTTTATACCATTGGGATGGTTTGTTAAACAGCCTAGATAGCAGAAGTCATGAGAAAACTGCAGTGTAAGTAAGATCAGTGACCTGCCCGAGGCTACCATGTCTGCCTGGATCTAATGAGACGCTCTTCAACACATCACACGACTCCTTGGCACCTATTGTGGCCAATGATGCAACACAAAAAGGAATAAGACAGGAAGAATCTACAAACGATCATTACACTTGGCAAGTACTTCTAAAATACAATGTACCTGTTGTTGCTGTGAGGTGCCTTCACGTCGGTTCTGACTCATAGTGAACCTGTGTAAGGTTTCCGAGGAGCGGCTGGTGGATTTGAACCACCGACCTTGCAGTTCAAACTGACCTTTCAGTCCAGTGCATTATCCCACAGCACCACACCAGGACTCCAAGATGTATCTAAAATAACAACTGATACCTAGCATTCCCAGCCCGACTTTTTGACCCCAAACTTTTGGTCCAACGTCACCATTTTCTTGATCGTAATTTTTCTTGAAGTAGATAGCCAGGCCTTTCTTCCACAGCATCACTGAGTGGGTCCCAACTGCCTACCTATGACAAAATGCTGAAACGACGTGAATGACTGACAGGTACCCAATATACTCTTCTTTGATCTTCCCTAGAAATGTGATGATTTTCTAAATAAATTTTTTGGAAGCCACCTTGTATATATATCCAAAGAGGTCTGGTGAGGCAGTGGTTACCAAGACTGCTAACCCACTAGCAGCTCCACTGGAGAAAGACAGGACAATCGGCTTTCATACGGATTACAGCCTTGGAAAGCCTATGGGGAAGGGGGGTGTATTTCTACTCTGTCCTACAGGGTAGCTCTGAGACTCAATCAACTGGGTGGCAATAGGTTTTGAAAATATGTCCATACTGTAAATACAAGTGCAAAACCTTTTAGAGACATTGTATTCTAACTATAGTTCTGGAGTATACAAATTAAAAAGATAAACATGTAAATGATATTCAACAAAAGAAATAAAACTACCTTGTAAGATGTGAATGAGATGAATGAATTTTTAAAAAATATCTTGATTGTACAGTTTACACCATTGCTGTTGTAAAGTGCTGTCAAGCCGGTTCCAACTCTTAGCGATCCTGTATAGATTTCCAAGGCTGTAACTTTTTTTTCCGGGAGCAGAAAGCCTCATCTTTCTCCCATGACGCTACTGATGGGATTGAACCACCAAACTTATGGTTTGCAGTCCAGTATTTATCGTACAAAGCTACCCCATTTCCTTTATGCCATATGCAAGTTATCAATTAAGAGACAATGAAAATTTAACTTTATAACTACACCTAACGAATTTATCTTTTTACAGCAAAATGATCAGAATTCTTGCAATCTCTGGCTTAACCATAAACCACAGTTATGGGTGAAAAATTATAATTCCTTGCACATGGTTGTTAATAACGCAAACCCAAATGCCCCTAACATTTTCTGGGATACACCTCAATGTAAAGAAAATGAAAATCCTCATAACTGGATCAATAAACAGCATCGTAATAAACGGAAAAGACTGAAGTTGTCAAGGATTTCATTTTACTTGGATCCACAATCATTGCCACTGGAAGCAGCAGTGAAGTAATCAGAGGACATGTGACATTGGGAAAATCAGCTACAAAAGACTTCTTTTTAAAGTGTGCAAGAGCAAAGTTATCAGTTTGAGGACTAAGCCTGACCCAAGCCATGGTATTTTCTATCGTCTTTTATGCTTATGAAAGTTAACATGGAATAAGGAAGACCAGAGAAAATTTGATGCATTTGAATTATGGTGTTGCCAAAGAATATTGAAAGTACCATGGACTGCCAAAGAATAAATAAATCTGTCTTGAAGAAGTACAGTCAGGATGCTACTTAGAAGTGAGGATAGTGAGACTTCGTCTCATATTATCTTGGACATGGTATCAGGAGGAGCCAGTCCCTGGAAAAGACATCATGCTTGGTGAAGCAGAGGGTCAGTGAAAAACAGCAAGACCACCAAGGAAATGAATTAACAATTGGCTACAAAATGGGCTCAAATCTAACAATTAGGAGGAAGATGCAGGGCCCCGTAGTGTTTCATTCTGTTGTACATGGGTCTCTAAGAGTCGAGACCAACTGGATGGTACCTACGAACCTCACAAAAAGTTAGTAGTTCAATCCACCCAACCACTCTGGCAATCTGCTTCCTGCTTTGGTAAAGATTGTTGTTGTTATGTGCGTGGAGTCGGTTCCAAGGCTATAACTCTTTACAGGAGCAGAAAGCCTCATCTTTCTCCAGCAGAACATCTGGTAGGTTTGATCTGTTGACCCTGATATTAGCAGTCCAATTGGTAACCGTCAGCAGTTGGAAACTACCAGCTGTTCCGCGGGAGAAAGATGAGGCTTTCTGTACCCGTAAAGATTTGCAGCCTCGGGAAACCCTGTACAGGGTCGCTGTGAGTCGGAATCGACTCCACAGCACATAACAACAACAACAACGCTACCAGAGCTCCTTAGTCATGAAAATGCTCCCGTGCCGGTCTCCTGTGTCACAGGGGATCACCATGAGTGGGAATCTTCTACACAGTACCTAACAACCAGCTCCACCTCATTTCCCAACTCCCCAGCCCAGCAAGGCTTTCAGTTCACTAAACGGTTGCTTCAAGGTTCCTATAAACACATTACTGTTTGATCCAAGAATTGGTCAAAGGAAACTAACAGCTCTGATTTTCTCTCAAGTGCTAGCTAGACCGTCACTGAACTTGCACTTAGTAATTACTGCCGAATGTTCAAGAAAAGCCTCAGGTTCCACCCAGCATTTGGAAAGGGAAAAAAGAAAATCACACTCAATTCCCAAAACTCTACCTCACCCTAAAATATGCCTCAACCGAGGGGCTCCAGACCTGCAGGAACCCTTTGACAAAGCTTTCTCCTGGGGATGGGACTCCCGCCAGACGAGGGAGGTTCGTGTCTCCATACGCGGTGTCTCCCCTAGATCCCTGGGTCCCCAGACCCTCTGTCCCTGGTTCCTTGGCCCCCTAGACTCCCACCCCCGGGGCTCCTCCAGCCCCACGTCCTCGCGCCCTGCCCCTCACGACCCCACTCACTCTTCATCGTGGATGCGCACGCCGCTGGCAACCCGCTGCCAACACAGGACGGAGAAGAAAAGGGCAGGAGGGTGATCCCTGCCTTTCACTCCCCCGAAGCGGGGCTCTGTACTAGGACCTCCACTGTGGTCTCACGATGGAGAGCGTTAGGCTCTGGTCGCCATGTTGTATCCCTGTCACCCTAGCAACCGTTAGTCCCCCGACCGCCCCGGGCCGCCGTCTGCGCGTGCGTAAATGTCTCGCTCTTGTAGGACGGCTCTTGTGGGTCTGTGAGTACCAGCGCAGCCCGCATCCTCAGTCTGGTTGCTAGGCAACTTCCTCCGAAGCTTTATGCAATTCCCAGCCTTTGTGGATGGGCAATTTACCCTCACCTTCACCGTGAACTCTAATTGGTTGGTTGTTATGACCATGGAGTCAGCTCGACTCATAACTACCCTGTTTAGACTTGTATAGAGTTTCCGAGGCTGAAAATCTCTACAGGAACAGAGAGTCTCCCCTTTCTCGAGGAGCAGCTGGTAGATTAGAACTGCTGACACTGAGATTAGCAGTCCAACTCGTAATTAGACTCCTAATTAGGTCTCAGAAATGCTGAAGATTGTTGTTGTCATTGTTAAGTACCATTAGGTTGGTTCCAACTCATAGTGACTCTGTATAGGGTTTCCAAAGAGCAGCTGGTGGGTTTGAACTGCCAACCTTGCGGCTAGCAGTCTAGTACTTATCCTACAGTGCCACACCAGGACTTCAGTGAAGATATAGACTCCTATAGAAACCTTCAGAAAGATGAGGAGAGAGGGAGAAATTAAAACAGAAACCCAAGGAAGGACTAGACTAGGTGATGTTGTATCGAGGGGCTGCAATAGAGATCAAACAAAGTACATGATTTGTTGAATGTAAAACTGATGATCTGTTCAAACCTTCGCTCAATTCACAATAAAAAAGTTAGAAACAAAAAATGACTCTATGGAGTAGTTAGTTCTACCTTGTATGAAGGGGCTTTATGAGTCTGAATTCCCTCCACAAACAACCCAACCACTGCCATCTCGTTGACCTGAATCATAGCACTCCTGTAGGGCTCCTTAGGTTTTCCATAAATCTTAATGGAAGCAGACAGCTTCACTTTTCTCCTGTAGAGCAGCTGGTGGATTTGAACTACGAACCTTGTGGTTAGCAGCCTGACACTTAACCCAGTACACCCTCAAGGCTCCTTACAACAACGACATCACCCCTTACTTAACTGATCTCCAACTAAAGGACATCAAGTCATTTTCTAAACCTCTGATCTTTTAAACATTGCTACAGTGACTAACAATATCAATGCATCATTGCACATCTATTCATATGCACCCATAGAATTTTCTAAATTGGAACTACTGAGTCAAAGGGTATGTGCGTTATGCGTTAAAAAAAAGTTTTGCTTTTTTAAAAAATTGAGGTAAAAGTCATTGGACATAAAATGAATCCTTTCAAAGTGCAGCATTTCTAATATTTACAATGTTGTATCACCTTCATGTAGATCTAATTCCAAAATATTTTCATCACCCCAAAAATGAAACCCCATACTCACTAAGCAAAGAAGCTCTGGTAGCATAGCGGTTATGAATTGGGCTGTGAGCCTTAGGGTCAGCAGTTCAAAACTACCAGCTGTTCCATAGGAGAAAGATGAGGCTTTTTGCTCCTGTAAAGATTTACAGCCTCAGAAACTCTGTGCAGGGTTGCTATGAGTCGGAACCAACTCCACGGCACATAACCTCCATCACCATTCACTAAGCAGTCCCAAAAACATTATGCTTAGTGAAAGCAATCAAACTCAAAAGACTACATAGGGTTAGGAAAGGTCCCAAATAGGAAAATCCACAAAGACAGAAAGAAAGTAGATGAGTGGTGACCAGGGGTTGGGAAGAAGGACGCGAGGGGAGGGGCTGCTAATTGCTAAGGGGTTTCGTTGTGGGGTGGTGACAATATTCTGGAATGTTTGGTGATGGCTTCACAACATCTTAAGTGTACTAAAAATCACTGAACTGTGCATGTTAAGATAGCAGTACAAATCTATGGAAAAAAAAAAAAAAAGAATGGTTAATGTTAGTATCAGAGTGGTTCCTCAGGAGAAAGATGAGGCTTTCTGCTTCTATAAAGATTTACAGTCTCTTTCTACAGGGTCGGTAGGAGTCAGAACCAATCGACGGCACCTAACAACAACAACAACAAGTCTGATATGATGGTTGTTGGCGCGGCTGTTGACTCTGAGAAGCTATTTGGAATCTCATAGGCCACGATGACTTGATGGTTCCCTTCTCTATCTCCCACTTACCTTTCCCCTTTTGAGGGATCTTGTGTCCTTAGCTACATTGATATTGTTTGTTGTTGTTATTCCATCTTTTTATTTCTACTGTAGAAAAACATTGGCACCAACCTAATTCCAAGGAAGACCAGTGCTCAAATATAGTTTTATATATATATGTTTAACTTTGACTAATTTGATGATGGTCCAAGATGCCTCCTTCAACATTTCTCGACTTAAAGGCTCAACACACTTAAAACTATTTCCCCACTAAATGTGTCTCCATGTATACACAAAGATTGATTTGTCTGGATTAGTCTTAATAACTATTGCTGTTCCATAATTCTGCAACAATTTCAGCTATGAAAAGTCTAACACTATTTCCACTTAATATCTTTTACTCAAGTTCTGCTTAAGTGTTCCAAATGGTTTTATTTTTATTTATTTATTTATTTATTTATTTATTTTTAAGGTTTTTATTGTGGATTGAGAGAAACTTTACAGGGCATATCATCAGTTTTACATTCAATAAATCATATACTTTGTTTCATTACATTGATTATAATCCCCTCCATGTACCATCAGTTAACAGTATTTCTCTCTATCCACTTTAGCTTTTAA